GACCGAGGTTGAACCAAATTATATAATAAAAATTAAAATTATTTAAATTAAAAATAAATGATGTAATACTAATTGATACATCATCAAAAAATTATCATGATCGACCACTAATCTCGAGGCAAAATCAGGTTGGAAACTTCCAACATTAAAATTAGAACCATATGAACTCTGATTTCAGCAAACTTATAGTCGAACTGAATGTCTTGGAAATACGAACCCAAAGACACAAAATTTGACTCAATCCGAGCCCAAATGAGTCAAAATCAAGGGCCCAAAGCGCTATTGGAGAGTTCAAACCACAATTTGGATTAACAAACGATTTTCAAACGTAACATACTCAAATTTAACTCAATGGATTCAAGTTAAAGAGCCCGGTTAGGGAGTTTGACCATTAGGGAAGCTTTTGAGCTCTTGTTGACTATTTGACAAGTCAACAAGGGTCAATGCAGCTAAGGTGGATTTCAGGGAATGGCTGGAAGGTTTTAGGATGATTTAGAAGAAATTTAAAATCATGGATCTAATACTTGAAGATGGAGTTGACCAAATGAACTCGTTTAAAGAATTTTTTGAATATTTGACTAGTCAAACAATTAACAATAAGTAAGGTAGATTTTAAGGGAGTGTATGAGAGTTATTTGCATAGTTTGCAAAGAGTCTAAAAGAATATATTCAATATATGAAAAAAAGGAGTCATGTATGGTGGGATTTGACTAAATTAACATCACTCAAATTTAACTCAATGGAATATTGGAAATATTCAGAATATGCTATAGAATGGTTGAGGGGATTTTAAAGCAAAGACATTGTTGTTTACATGTAATGTTGATCATGGAAGGTTTCTTTTAAAGTTGAGTTAATTAATGTGACTAGTCAACTGAGTTTTGATGACTAGGATTGAGCCTAGCAAGTATTTGAGATGGTGGTTGAATGACTTTGAAATTATAAGATTTAAGTTAAGTAACAGATGAAAAGAAGTGTATGAATTTATTCCTATGTGAACTGGGTTTGATAAGTCCAACTCAGTTGAGTGAGTTGACTGTTGAATGAGTCAAAATGTTGAATGAGTCAAAATGTATAAGTGATTACAGGAATTTGTTAAACATCAGAGGTCATTTAAAGTTTAATTGAAGGTAGGTGATATATATGGTTAGTTGAGCTAGGTTGAATCAGCTCAACAAGGCTAGATCGATTAATTGGTGATTAATCAGAAACTGGATGTATGATTGATTGATTGAGTTATTGAAAATTGGATTCCTTGGAGGGATTAAATCTAAACATTGATTGATTTAATATAATTGATTTTTGATTGAATGATTTGCTAGATGATTGAGAGTTGGATGGCTGCCAATCACTAAATGCATAATCAGGGGTCTGAAGGGGCCTGATGGTCTCATACAAAAATGAGGTCAACAAGTTCAAATAAATTATTTTTATAGTCAAGATTATTTTTTTTATTTAATAAAGATGAGTCTTAATTTTTGAACTCTAATTATAGTAATTAAATTTAAATAGTATAAGATAATATTCTAACTTATACTAAACTAATTATATATTAAATTTGTTTGATATAATGGCTCACACTTAGTTAAAGAAAAATATAAATAATAAAAAAATTATAAATTTTTATTATTTAATTAATGTATTTACTTTCTAAGATATATTAAATTTTTATTCATTAATTAACTTATTATAACACAGTCTTATCTTTTTCAAATAAACACCACTGCATTATCATTTTTCCAAGAAAAAATAATTCACAAAAAAAGGGTGGGGGAAAGAAATAGAAAGATAAAAAATAGAAAGGTTTGAAGAGATAAAGGAGAGTGAGGGGGAGAGAGATAAAGAAGAGAGAAATTCTAGTTACTACTTTCATAAAGAAGAGAGAAAGGATGGAGAGATATAAAAAAACAAGAGGAGAGAGAGAGAGGGAAATTCCCACAACTGCTGCCAACATGATCATCAAAAATATATATTAAAGCCACTTAAAATTCCTTCCACATCAAATCTTGGCCATCCATTTTAGTTTTTCTAAAATTATCTTGTACATTCATTATATTATAAATAATTAATAAATCTAAAAAATATATAATAATTATGCAATTAATGCCTGTTACATACATCTCATAAAATATTTATTCATTGTATTATAAAAAATTATTAAATATAAAAATTTATAATAACTATGCAAATTAATACCCATTACATACACCTCATATATTATATCTACTGATTAATACCCGTTTGTATTTGTAAATTAATTTTGGATTCACAATTTCTGCCCTATTTCGTAAGTTTTGTGATTTTCCCTCTCTTTTTGTTGCCCTGTTTCACGAATTCATGATCTTCGACTTGTTTCATGATTTCGGTCTCTTGAACTACCTCAACGTTTCTTCTGGCCAGCTCTTCATCTTGCCCTATGGTAGGTTTCACGATTTCGGTCTCTTCATTTTCCTTGACGTTTCTTCTTATTAGCATTTATGATTCTTGCAGGTTTCTTTCTTCAACCCTTTTAGGTCTCTTGAATTTCTATAATGTTCTTTACTTATGGAAGATGAATCAGCCGTGGAATTCTTTGGAACTGTCCAAACATTCAACCCTTTGGAACAAATAGTTTGATTCTTCATAAGATAACCCTCCCCCTCTTCATCATATATAACTGCTAAAATTATTGTCACATATTTTTGGTTAAATATTTAGTGGTTTGCTTTTGCATTTGCCTTTCTTTTCTAGATCTCTGCTCTTTTGGCTTCAATGGATCTCTAATATCTCAACTTCAAATGTTAGATATGAAATTTATTGCTGTATGAATCTTATGCTTTAAATTTTTGAAATTGCTTTTCTTTAAAATTTTGAATTGTTTTGAAAATTTGTTAGTAGGTTATTTGTTACATGCACTTTAAAGTTGTTTTTCTTTCTTATTATAAAAAGGTTAGACACGAAATTTTCCAATACTGAAATTTAACAACCTGCTCTGCTAACTGGATGCACGCATAGCGTTTTAAAAGATGCAGTGTAGTTAATAGCTTTGCCATTATAAAAGAAGCCAACAAATACTCAAATTTCTGTCAAGAAAACCCATGGGAAAACTAATGGTACAATCATATTTACGCTTTCACAACATTCAAAACTTGAACGCCAATAAAATTACCCCAAGATCTCCAGTGCACACTTTCTCTGACTTCCTCATTAATGCCTGTAAGTTAACATATAAATGGGCTTGATTAAGGGCACAAATACACTTTGATTTATCTGATTTCACCCTTCAGGACATGATTGCCATCGATGTGCATGGAAATACTCTCCGAAAGATCTGAAACGAGAGAGTATCTATTATTCTCATAGCATCCATTATGTTATGAGATCCAACATCTAACAGCTTGTTAAGAAATAAGACAGTTGCATCAACATTCCCAAGAAAACTGAGCTTTCTAATCAAGATATTTACTACTTGCACCCAATGCTTTTTCTCATGTCTTTCTATCACCAACTTAGCAATCTCAATTTTTTTTTCTTTTTCAAAATTCATACGCTTGAGTTATCCCAGTAACTTCACATGGAACTACACCCTTGTCCAACATTGACTCATATAATGCTCTTGCCTCATCTAATCTAGATTCTTTGCAAAGCCCACTTGTTAGAGCACCATATGTTACGTAATCAGGCATACATGCTTCCTGAATCATCTTTTCTAAGATCCTCATTAATGCAGATTGTGTCTTTCCATCCCTACAATACCCATAAATCTTGAATGTCTAAGTTTGCCTTGTCGGTTTAAGTCCAAGCTTGAGACAACCACTTAACAAATTCTCACCCTGTTCCATTCTTTTTTGTCTGCAACAACTAGTGCTCATGATGGTGTAGTTTTTGTTGAAGGAGAGTAGTCACCGATGTGGAGAACTCTCACATGATGGCATGATACTTGGTGATATCAAAATACTTTTGTTTTACGTGAGTGTTGACTAATGTGGATAGCTCTCACGTGATGGGATGGCATTGTACTTGGTGATGTCAGAACAACATCCATTTGAAGGGATTGGTGGCTAATGTAGAGATCTTTCGCATGATGGAGGGAGAAATTTTTAAGCCATGCAAGTGTTTCATGTTTAGGTTAAAATCAAGATAGCTGGTAAAATCATCTTATTGACTTGGTTTGTTTTGAAGGAATTGGATAAAATATAGTTCACATTTTTCACATTACTCTCTTATTAGGATGTATTTTATTGACAACTTAATTTATTTAGAAAATATGGACAAATACTTTCTTTTTCATTGATAATATAATCTTCAAATCATTGCTAATTCTTCTGGGTCTGCTTCCTCACAAGAATTTTTTTTTTCCTTCAACCAATTTAGAAGAAAATAAATATTTCCTTAATTTCTATAACAAGTTGATTTAAGCATGTATGAATATAATTCCTTTATCATTTCTATTTTCATTTTTTTATACTCTTACAATTCATATCAATTCCTTACATAATTGGTACTCACTTTTGGACCATTTGTGTAGCAATAACTCCTTCACCATCATCAACTACTCATTTCATAAAATTTGATATTCTTCTTTATTGTTGATGTCAAGGATTTTGATAAACCTATAATTTCTAATCTCGCCTCTTTGTACGAGACTATTATATTCTTTCCTGATGCTTTAGGTGCTTCTTTCAATATCAACAAGAGCTCCATTATATTTTCTCAAAAACTTATTGGTAAGTAAATCATTCATTTCATAGTTAATTGATTGAAGATCTTTCTACCTCTTATTTCGTGGTTAAGGAAAATAATGAAAACCTTTCTTATAGAAACAACATAATTTTTTTTTTTCATGTATGTCTTTAACTGCTTTATAATAGGATTTGTGTTTGTAAACCAATTGCATGTTTTTGTTGTTTAATTTAATGCAACTATTAATCTATTTATTATTGCATCAAAAGAAGTAGATGCCTTCTTGATTGAAGAAAGTTAATTTATACTAATTTGCTATTTTAACTTTGCCGTGGAAGTGGTTGGAAACTCAGTAATTGGACAACCATGTGAAAGTGGATGAGCAGGAAATAGTGTATTACTGAAACAACACGAATATAGGATCCTCAAGGTAATATTTTGTTCGCTTATGTGAACTAACTTATCATAAAGATGTTTCTTGTGATATTTTCAATCTCCATAATTACTGTAGGCTCACTATTCTTCACTCTCTTGAACCTTTTCTAGAGCTATTTTAATTATTTGCTGGAATAGCTGAATTTCACCATTTGAGTATTGGTTTATACATTTGGTGAGGCCTAACACTCCATGTTGCTTGTTGATTCAACCGAAAGCTAAAAGCTAAAAGCATAGGCAAAAAACATTAAATTTTTATTTGTTCATTTGACAATTCACTAATTAATTCACTAATTGAGAACAAGAATAAACAAAATATAAAGATTTAAAATACAAAAGTTGAATAATTGCTAAATGATTAATGCGAAGGTGCAGGGATATAGAATTTAGCATTCTAGCTCTATATGAAGATCTAATACACTAACAGATGAGAGAGAGAGGTGCAAAAGTCATAAGAAGCACCAAGATTTTTATGTGAGAACCCCTGGAAAGGACTAATGATTCTACTAGTGTTTTGGAGACCAATGGTGGTCAAAGAGGCTGTAGTTGGAGGATGATGGTGGTTGGAGGGGCCATAGTTGGGCTACTTTGATCAGAGGGTCGACAGGAGACGGTGGTAAGAGAGACCATAGTCGGAGGGCGATGGTGGTCGAAGGGACCATAGTCAACAGATGATAGAAGTCAGAGGGACCTTAGTCGGCGGGCAATGTAGGTCAAAGGGACTATAGCCAGTAAGTGACTAAGATTGGAGGGACCATGGTCAGAGTGCCACGGAGGTCGAGTGACAGTGGTCAGAGGGAAATTAGTCAGCATATGAAGGTGGTCGAAGGGACCATAATACTTGGTGGGCCACGATGGTTGGAGTATAACTAGTGGGCGACATTGGTTGAAGGGAACATATTTGATAGGAAATAGAGGTTACAGGGATCATAGTCGACGAGTAATGGTGGTCATGGGGACTGTAGTAGCTCTGGAAATGGTGGTTGGAGGGACCTTAGTCGGTGGGCGATGAAGATCTGTTGGGCGGTAGTTGGTGGGTGACAATGGTCTGAGGAATCATAATCAGCCGACGATGATTGTCAAAGTGACCTTTGTCTGTAGTGAATGTGGTCGGTTGGATCGAAGTCTGCTGGCGACGATGGTCGAAGGGACCATTGTCAGCAAGCAATTATGGTCGGAGAGACCATGGTCACTGGTGAAGGTGGTCGAAGGAATCATGCTCGGGGGACAATGGTGGTCGACAATAACGATGGTCAACGGACGATTGTGATCTCAGGGACCGCAACGATGGTTGGAGAGACTATAATTTATGAGTAAGGAAAGTAGCTGGAAAGAGGTCCAACGACAATTGGCAACAGGCAGAGGTCAGACGATGATTGGTGGATGGGCGGTGGTCTAGTGATAGTCAACTATCGGACCGAGTTTCGACGATGATAGGGATCCCGACAGATTTTTGACGACGGTCAGCGACTAGGAGGTGGTTCAAAGATGGTTAGCGGCCGGGCAACAATCTAGCGATGGTCGACAGAAATTTATTAGAGGTGGTCAACGAAAGTTCACCAACACTAGTGGTTTGGTAGAGATATAAGATCTTTGAAACCTTATAGCACTCTCTAATTTCTAGCTCAAGGGTCCCCTTGATGAAGAGAGCATACATCTGTTTATAGATTTTTTAGAGTGGCATGCCTTGCAACATGGAGAAGGTCCGGAGTAAATTCGGAGTGCTACATCGAATGGTTCACATCAATTTCCTTGATCATATATCATTCATTTAATCATTTAAGCACCTTAAAGATGTCTTAATTAAGTGATATTAGGCTCTTTGAATTCATCTCGTCGAGTCGCTCGATTCAACTATAAACATGATGTATTTGGATGTCATTTTATTATCCAATTTATACTTTAAACCTTCTAAAGGTGCCATCGCAAATACAATAATATTACATGTTCTAATCACCTATAGATCTCATCTGTTGCATCTCATTTCACTTGTCCATTGTAGACTTCGTCTAATTATTTATTGTATACACCTCATAGAATTTCACTCTTGCCAACTATGCACTCCTCTAATTTTAATGTCGTCCCTCCCCATGGTTGCTCCATTCAAACAATGTTTAAAATTGCGTATTCGGGTATTGAGGCGTTTTTCGTTAGTGAGGTGAGGCGTAAGCCTCAAAATAAAAAAATTGTGTAAACATAAAATAATAAATTTTGTATATACTAATGAGTAAATAATATATAAACATAAAAATGCTACTTACCACATCTTTGAGAATAAATAAGGGAGACATATCACATAAGAACTCACTAGTCATTAGTCATCAGCACTGTCATCACTCATCAGTCATCACTCATCACTAAGGGGCTCTTCATTTGAATCATCATTATGATGAACTGCTCTCTCCTCTTCCCCCTCTCCTATAGAGTCCAATATCTCACAATTAACTTCTTCTTCCTCATTATCAGTTATCTTCCTCTTCCCTAAATATTTTTGAACAATATCATAATGAATAATAGTGTAATACATTAATAAAAGTTTAAGAAAAGAAAACTATATTATTTATATACATTTTTTGATTTGTTTTTGAGTTGTGTTGGATGTGGATGCTTTAAGACCATAAAAGAAATCAACATTTAAATCTTCATCTTGTAATTCAGACGGCATCACTTCAACTTCATCATATACAAACTACTCATCATCAGATGCCACATCATCACAAAGTAAAAGATCTTCATCATCCATTAATCCTTTTTTCTTCAAATTTCTATCTCTGAGTCTCCTATTGTACATAATGTACACCAGTGAGTTCATCCTTAATGTTGACAAGTTGTTTGTACTTGGTTGTAGGTATTTTAATTTTTTTCACAGTCAGATGAAGAGCATGTCAAGCCCAAAACTTTCACAACAAAACGCTATAATTCTGGAGTCCCATCATCAAATGGAATCCA